ACCTTGCGGCGCCGGCACACCAGGTTCTAGTCCTGGTCGGGCGCTAGATTCTGTCCCGGTTGTCCCTCTTCCAGGCCAGCTCTCTGCTGTGGCCAGGGAGTGCAGTGGAGGATGGCCCAAGTGCTTGGGCCCTGCACCCCATGGGAGACCAGGAGAAGCACCTGGCTCCTGCCTTTGGATCAGCGCGGTGCGCCGGCCTCAGCGCACCAGCCACGGCGGCCATTGGAGGGTGAACCAATGGCAAAAGGAAGACCTTTCTCTCTGTCTCTCTCTCTCACTGTCCACTCTGCCTGTCAAAAAAAAAAAAAAAAAAAAAATTTGTTGGTGCCTAGATTCAGTCCCTGGCTCTGGCTCTTGAACTCATCCTCCTGTTAATGCAGACCCTGGGAGGCAGCAATGTTGGCTCCAGTAGTTAGGGTCCTGCCACCCGTGTGGGAAGCCCGACTGAATTGTAGGATCCTGGCTTCAGTGCCACCTCCAACCACTTGTGAACAGTTGAGGTGTGAACTAGCATGTGAGAACTTCTGCTCTCTAATAAATACATTAATTAAAAAAAAGAATTTGTTAAGTAAACAGCCATAACTCTGAAGAATGAGTAGAAGAGTCAGTAGATAAAGACAGGGCACTTGCCAGTAGTGGAAGCAGCAGTGGCCCTGGGGCAGGAGGCAAGAGGTAGTAATAGGACTGAGAGACTGAAAGATCAATGAGTCTTGGAAACTCGAAAAGTCCACACTGCAACATGAAGCTGAGGAACCACGCAGGGGCCAGGCTGCATAGGACTCTGTCTGCCTAATTACAGTGAGAAGGATTAAAAGATTTTAATCCATGGAGTGGGAAGAGATTGCTGGTCAGACTTGGTCTTTGAAAATAACCATGCTAGCTGCAGTCTGAAGATCAGAGGGGGACAAGCTGATTGTACATAGATCATTTAGGAGTTGGTTGAAGTAAACCAGGCTTTATCTCTGAAGATTTTTATAGGTTATTGTAAATTTTCCCAGCTCTGCAAGAATATATTTTCAAGTTACTGTGCATATATTATAGTATTTTGAAATAATTTTAAGGTTTTTTTTTACAATTTAAAACAAAAGGTGACTGTATTATTATTTTTCTCTGTTGTTAAATATGCAAAATTCCAGCTGCTTTGTTGTTTTAAATAAATAGTCTTTTATAGACAAGCCTGGGAATTCAGTTTAGAAACTAGAAAGAGTTAGCACTATATTGAGATTTTCTTCTGTTATGTGTCTTTTATGCTGCCAGTGAAATTTGAATATTTTATAGTAGTGCTGCTCAATAAAAATATTTGTGCTGCATGTATAATTTAAAAAATTTTAATAACCACATTAAAATGGTAAAAAGAAATTGGCAAGGGTCTTTTTAATAATGTGTTTTATTTAACCTCAGGTATCTAAAACATTAGTTCAATATATAGTCAATAAAAAACTATCAATGAAATATTTGACTTTTTTCATGTTAAGTCTTAGAAATGTAGTAGGTATTTTATACTTTGTATTTCAAATTGGGTTAGCCATGTTTCAAGGGCTCCAGAGCCATCTATGGCTAATGGCTGTTCTATCAGCTAGTTAGCTCTGTAGGTCTCTGGGTTAATGAGAGTTTTAGTTTTTTGATTTTTTTTTTTTTAAGATTTTAAAGATTTATTTATTTATTTGAAAGAGATATAGAGAGGCAGAGGCAGAGAGAGAAGTCTTCCATCCGCTTGTTCACTCCCCAAGTGGCTGCAACAGCTGGAGCTAGGCCCAGCTGAAGCCAGGAGCCAGGAGCTTTTTCTGGGTCTCCCACATGGGTGCAGGAGCCCAAGCACTTGGGCCACCTTCCACTGCTTTTCCAGGCCATAGCATAGAGCTGGATTGTAAGTGGAGCAGCCAATACTCAAACCGGTGCCCATATAGGATGCCGACATTGCAGGCCGGGGCTTTAACCTACGCGCCACAGCGCTAGCCCCACTTTGCTTTTTTAAGTTATCAGATTTATATAAATAATAACTGACAAAGGCATTAGTTTAATTTATTTGGAGTAGAATTGGATGCTGTTATAAAGAAAGGTTTGGTCTCTATATGTCTCAGAGATGTCATGAAATTGTTTTTTAACAGTTTGAGAGTTATTGGTATGTGTTATTATTTATTGGTATGTGACGGACTCTGGGTTGAAATGAAGGGAGATACATTGGGGTTTTCTGATTGACATCCCAGGTGAAAAGAAAGGTTTATTTTATATTGATTTCCCAGTGCTGTGTAAAACCCTATAGCTAATGGGCACTGAAGTAGTTATCACCTGTAGGAAGCCTTTCTACTCTGTTATCATGCAAAGAAGTGAAGGATAGGATGTAGGTGTTCTTTGCAAAATCTTAGCAAACATGCTGTGATACTTTAAAATACAAGTCATTCTTGAACTATACAATATATAAAAACATTAGTGTTTTTTAAGGAACTCTTTGATTATTTACTCAACAGTTAACAATGTTTTAGTTGCCACTATAGAAGCACAAATTTCTTAGCTTGGGATGAGTCTTTTGTGCAGCAGTTAAGATGCTACATGTGATACCCTCATCCCATGTCAGGAGTACCTGGGTTTGAGTCCCAGCTCTGCTTCTGATCCCAGCTTCCTGTTCATGTGCACCCTGGGAGGCAACAGATGATGGCTCAAGTACCTGGTCTCCCATGAGGGTGACAAAGGCTCAGGCGCTTGGGCCATCTTCTGCTGCTTTTCCAGGCACATTACCAGGGAGCTGGATTGAAAGTGGAGCAGCCGAGACTTGAAACAGTACCCATATGGGATTCCAGCGTTTCAGTCAGAGGCTTAACCCACTACACCACAATGCTAGTCCCTAAGTGTTTTTTTTTATGATTTATGTGTTAATTATTGATTATTTCCTCTACTTTAACACTGTTGCAGGGAGGTATATATATTTTTAATTGAATACCTTTTTCTTTCACGTTTGAGAGGTAGAGAGAGCAGGCAAATGAGAGAAAGGGAGTGAAAGCTCCCGTGGTTTGGTTAACTTCCATAAGGACTGAGGCTGGTTGTGGGGAGCAATCCGGACTAGACTAAGTTACTCGAATTAGGACTTATTCTATGCATCTGCTCTCCCACAATATGGCGCTGGGAGAGAAGTAAACAGCTTCTGCACAGCTGCCTCCAGTTCAACCAATAAACTGTAGGACTTGCTACTGATTGGAGGAGAGCAGCGTACTCGGCGTGTGGGCAGCCGAGTTGGGATTGGCGGAGGAGGACTATAAAGGAGGAGAGAGACGGCATGCACCAGGAACATCTATGGGGAACATCTAAGGGAACCCGTGCAGCCCCCGAGAAAGCCGGCCGGTGTGCCGCTCCCCTGCGGAAGTGGGGAATGTGGCCAGGGGGAACTGCCCTTCCACGGAGGTGGAAGGGATAGTAGCCAACCCGGGAAGAACCAGCAGCAAACCCGGGGAGGGCCGAGCAGACGAAAGAACAGCGCAGGGTCCTGTGTCGTTCCTCCACGAAGAGGGGGAGCGACAGCTGGTCTAGACCTGGCAGAAGCTAGGAGCCAGGAACTCAATTCAGGTCTCCCACATGGGTGCTTCCCAGAATTTGCATTTACAAGAAATTAGAATTAGGAGTCAGAACTGGAAGTTTAACACAGGCACTTCAGTGTGGGTGGTAGGTGCCGTAATTAACATGTTAGTGCTAAGTGAAACACCCATTCCACATTTCTTTCTGTTATCTCATTGACTGAATAAACAGTTTTGACATTTGCTGTCCATATACTGTTACAGTTAGTATGCCAGGTGCTGAGAATAGAAGGGTGCTCTTAAGCAGTTCTCAGAACTTTGTCTTCTTCAGAGTGGTCTTTAAGTTAGGAAACTTCTATACTGACTCAGTTAAAAAGATAACTATTATCAATACTACCTAAAGTTTTTAAAAAACTGTAAAGGCTTTGTAAATACTTTTTTGTTTCTGAAGTTCTATTAGGTTATTTTTCCATGTGCAGAGGAAAATGTACTGAGGATAAGAGATTTTCTTGAAATGAATATTCAGTACCATAAATCACTATTAGAATTCAGCATTAGAATTGGAGTGTGCTTGCTTTCATTATGTGTGTATGTATTTACTATGGCATGCCTAGTAAGTCCTGTTTTACAAGGCTTACTGGTTTGACTGCTTTTGTGACTATATCTTTGAAGTCCTACACATGTACTTTTCCAGTGTATTGCTAGTGTCACCACACTTTTGCTAAATTCTTTGATGTTGAGCAAGTAAGTAGGTGTATTTTAATAATCTACTTAAGAGTAAAATTGTTTTTGGAACATGGAGAATAAAAACAATGAAACATGCTTATTTGTTTTTGAAAAACCAAAAATTGTTACCTATTATCATTGTTCTCATGGCTAATGTTTGACTGTGGGCCCTGAGGTTATAAATTTTAGAATGATGAGAGGAGAATTAAATGAGTATTTTAAATTTATAGTTAATTTTTTTTCAAATTACACAGTACTTACACCTGGTAAAATATTTAAAAGGCGCAGTCTCCATTTCAGACCTGGTACTTTAGCCATCTTGTTCCTTTCTCTCTGGGCAACTTTCTTAAAAATCCCTCCCAAGATAGCCTATACAGATTTAAGCAACTGGGCACTGTATCTCTCCTCCCCTCAACCCACTACCACCTTTCCTGGGAGTAAAAACCACTTATATTATTGTATGTTATGAATGCTTCTGTGTATTATGCACTTTTTTTTAAACTTAACAATTCCCTCTGGAGATTGTTTTATATCACTACCTCAAGAATGCTTTCTCTTGTACTGTTGTATAGTGAGAATAAAATTATTAAATCTCCCCAAAATACTTAACAATGGAAGTAGCTGTAATTATATAGTTACAGTGAATGAACTTAATATTTCTTTTAATACAAAGATCAGAACTTTCCTTTTGTCATGCTAAGCTAGATGAGTTTTATTATATGTTGGGAAAATGTTAAAGCCACTTTTTGCCTCCTTTTTTTGTTTCAGATAATCAGACAGCTAAATGGAGTCTGAGCAGCTGTTCCATAGAGGCTACTATAGAAACAGCTACAACAGTATAACGAGTGCAAGTAGTGACGAGGAACTTTTAGATGGAGCAGGTGTTATTATGGACTTTCAAACTTCTGAAGATGACAATTTGTTAGATGGTGATACAGCTGTTGGTAAGTTCCATGTTACAGCTCAATATTCATAGTCATGAATTTTTCCTAAACTGTATATTATTTTATTGAGGGCAGTTTTTTGCCTTTTTTTTTAACTGAGATGAATCATATGACAAATTTGACCATTTTTAAATGTGACATTCAGTGGCATTTAGCAGATGTACGAGTTTTGTTTTTTAAGTTTGTCTTTTATTAACCCATAGTCCAATTACATTAATATAAATATCACTATATTTTATTTTAGATCTTCCATTTTTATATTTGTTGCATCTGTTCTTTTCTCTCTCTCTCATTTATTTATTTATTTTTGACAGGCAGATTTAGACAGAGAGACAGAGAGAGAGTTATAGACAGTGAGAGAGAGACAGAGAGAAAGGTCTGTCTTCCGTTGGTTCACTCCCCTAATGGCTGCTATGGCCGGTGTTGCTCCGATCCAAAGCCAGGAGCTGGGTGCTTCCTCCCGGCCTCCCATGCGGGTGCAGGGACCCAAGCACTTAGGCCATCCTCTGCTGCGCTCTTGGGCCACAGCAGAGAGCTGGACTGGAAGAGGAGCAACCGGGACTAGTACCCGGTGCCCCAACCAGGACTAGAACCCGGGGTGCCGGTGCTGCAGGCAGAGGATTAGCCTAGTGAGCCATGGCACCAGCCTCTCTCTTTATTACTATTCCCTTATACAGTAGTTATACATATACCTGTTTTGTTTAGTGAGTACTCTTGAGATTCTGGTAGGTACCCTTGATTAATTCTATAAATTTAAACTTTCACCACTTATGGAAAAATGTGAGGATGTCTTTTTGTCCCATTCCTGCTTTCTGTACTTCCATTGTTCTTGATTTTAATTCTTTGTGTATTTGGAACTGCACAAGGTATTACTTTTTTTTCTTCAAAGATTTATTTACTTGAAAGGCAGAATTACAGGGAAAGAGGTGGAGAGAGAGATCTTCTATCCTTTGGTTCACTCCCCAAATGGCCATAGCAGCCATAACTGGGCCATTCTGAAGCCAGGAGCTTCATTCTGATCCCCCAAATGGGTGGCAGGGACCCAAACACTTGGGCCATCTTCCACTGCTTTCCCAAGCCCCTTAGCAGGGAACTGGATTGGAGATAAAGCAGTGGGAATACAAACTGGTGCCGCTTTGGGATGCCGTTGGTGTAGGCAGCGGCTTAACCTGTTGCACCACAACACCAGCCCCTCTTTTTTGGTATGGTCAATGACTACTCAGATTTATCCACATCTTTTTCCATTGATCTTCATTGTGTACTGTATAGAAGCATTGTCATATTTATATCTGGGAGAGTTAAATTTTTGCCTATGGAACTCCCGTTACTCTTCCTTCCTTCCTTCCTTCCTTTCCTTCCTTTCTTTCCTTTCTTTCCTTTCTTTCCTTTTTCCTTTCTTAAGATTTTTATTTATTTATTTGAGAGAGAGAGTTACAGACAGTGACAGGGAGAGACAGAGACAAAGGTCTTCCTTCTGTTGGTTCACCCCCCAAATGGCCACAGCAGACAGAGCTGTGCTGATCCGAAGCCAGGAGCTTCTTCCTGGTCTCCCACATGGGTGCAGGAGCCCAAGCACTTGAGCCATGCTCTACTGCTTTCCCAGGCCACAGCAGAGAGCTAGATTGGAAGAGGAGCAACCAGGACTAGAACCAGCGCCTATATGGGATGCTGGCACCCCAGGCAGAGGATTAACCTACTGCGCCACAGGCCAGCCCCTTCCATTAGTATTTCTTCAGTGATCATTTGCTAGCAATATATTCAGTGAGTTTTTGTAAGTGTATTTTTTTTCAACTTTTATTTAATAAATATAAATTTCCAAAGTACAACTTTTGGATTATTTTGGACTAGTGAGATGGCATTGGTACATGCCACCTTGATGGGATTGAATTGGAATCCCCTGGCACATTTCTAGCTCTACCGTTAGGGGCAAGTCCGAGTGAGCATATGCCGAACTGTACATCTCCTCCCTCTCTTATTCCCACTCTTATGTTTAACAGGGATCACCTTTCAGTTAAATTTAAACACCTAAGAATAATTGTGTGTTAATTACAGAGTTCAACCAATGGTATTCAGTAGAACAAAAAAATACTAAAAGGAATTAAAATAGTAAGTTGTTCTTCAACAGTCAGGACAAGGGCTGATCAAGTTATTGTTTCTCATAGTGTTCATTTCACTTCAACAGGTTTCCTTTTAGGTGCTCAGTTGTCACCGATCAGGGAGAACATATGATATTTGTCCCTTTGGAACTGGCTTATTTCACTCAGCATGGTGTTTTCCAGATTCCTCCATTTTGTTGCAAATAACCGGTTTTCATTGATTTCTTTACTGCTGTATAGTATTCTATAGAGTACATACCCCATAATTTCTTTATCCAGTCTATTGTTGATAGGCATTTAGATTGATTCTATGTCTCAGCTATTGCGAATTGAGCCACAATAAACATTGAGTAAGTCTTTGTTTTAACTTTATTTTTGGAGGACATTTTTACAGTTATGTTTCATATTTATAGTTATCTTCTTTGAACACTTTTAAGACGTGACTCTAATGTCATTTGCATTCTGTTATTTCTCTTGAGAAGTCAGCTGTTTTATTATTGCTTCTTGAAGGGTAATGTGTCTTTAATGTTTTCCCCCTCTGTCTGGATTTAAGAGGCTTTTGTTTTCTTTGTCCTTAGTTTACAGAATCTTAACCAGGATGTTCCTAAGTGTGATTTTCTTTGTATTAATCCTATGTGGGGTTATTAGAGTTTCCTAAGTGTGTGATTTAATTTTGTGTGTGTGTGTCACTGGACAGTTTTAACTAGTGTAGCCTCAAATGTTGCTTCTGCCATTCTTTCTTCTTTCTCCATTTGATATTCCAGTTGCACGTGTTAAATCTTTTCACTGTGACTTTTATGTTCTTTTCTGTATTATTCATCCTTTATCTTTTCATGTGACTTTCAGCTCATTGGAGTATATAGCAAGGAGCATAATAGCTAGATCCTATGGTGAGAATATGTTTAGTTTTTTCAGAAACTGTCAAACCATCTTACAGAGTAACTGTAGTGTTTTGTATTCCCACTAGCAGTGAATGAGAATTCTTGTTGCTTCACATCCTTTTCAACGTTGTGTTGTCAGTGTTTGGGATTTTATTATTCCAACAGGTGTGTGGTATATCTAATTGTCATTTTCTATTGAGTTTTAGATTTCAGTTATCTTCCAGTTATAGAATTTCTTTTTTATTACTTTTTATAGATTTCTGTGCTTTGAAAGAAAATCCCCATATTAATATACTTTTAAAAAACGTTATTTAAAAGGTTTATTTATTTATTTGAGAGGCAGAGTAATAGAGAGAGGGAGAGACCGCAAGAGAAGTTTTCCATCTGCTGGTTCACTGCCCAAATGGCCACAATGGCTGAAGCTGGGCCAGTTGGAAACCAGGAGCCTGGAGCTTCTTCCATGTCTCCTACTTGGGTCCCATTGGGCCATCTCCCACTGCTTTCTCAGGCACCTTAGCAGGGAGCTGCATGGAAAGTGATGCACCCGAGATTTAAACTGGTACCTATATTGGATGCTGGTGCTACAGGCAAAGGCTTAACCTACTATACCACAGTGCTGGCCCCTTAATATACTTAAAGATTTATTTGCTTATTTGAAAGAATGACAGAGAGGTAGAAGGCAAACAGAGATCTTCCATTTGTTGGTTCTCTCTCCAAATGCTCAGGACTGAACCAGGCCTGAGCTAGTAACCAGAAACTCCATCCGTATCTCCTAGGTGGGTGGCAGTGACCTAAATATTTGGTATATCATCCACTACCTTTCCATGGTTTATTAGCAGGAAGCTGGATCAGAAGCAGAGGTATTGGGAGTCCAGTATTGAACATGAGCATCAACACCAGCAGCTTAACCAGCTGTGCCATAGTGCCCATTTCTAGTCAGTTTTTTTTAAGTTCGCATTAGCAGGGAGCTAGATTGGAAGTGGAGCAGCCAGGACTTGAACCAGCATCCATGTGGGATTCTAGCATTGCAGGTGGCAGCTTAACCCGCTACACTACAATGTTGTTCCCTGAGTTTTACTTTTTGATTTATGTGCTAGTTATTGGTTATTCCTTCTAGATTAAATACTGTTACAGAGAGGAATTTTTTTTTTATGATTTATTTATTTATTTGAAAGAAAGAGTTACAGGGTAGGGAGAATCTTCCATCATCTGTGGTTCACTCCCCAGATGGCTGTGATGGTTAGAGCTGGGTCGATCTGAGCCAGGACCAGAAATTTCATCCAGGTCTCCCATCTGGGTGTAGAGGTCCAAGCATGTGGGGAGCAACTCGGACTAGACTAAGTTACTGGAATTAAGACTTATTCTATGCATCTGCTCTCCCACAATATGGCGCTGAGAAGGGAGAAACAGCTTCTACACAGCTGCCTCCAGTTCAACCAATAAACTGTAGGACCTACTCCTGATTGGAGGAGAGCAGCGTACTCGGCGTGTGGGTAGCAGAGTTGGGATTGGTGGAAGAGGACTATAAAGGAGGAGAGAGACAACATGCACCAGGAACATCTAAGAGGAACATCTATCTGAAGGAACACCTGTGCAGCCCCCGAGAGAGCCGGCCGGCGGTGTGCCGCTCCCCCTCGGAAGTGGGGAAAGTGGTCAGGGGGAACCGCCCTTCCACGGAGGTGGAAGGGACGGTAGCCAACCCGGGAAGAACCAGCAGCAAACCCAGGGAGGGCCGAGCAGACGAAAGAACAGCGCAGGGTCCTGTGTCGTTCCTCCACGAAGACGGGGAGCGACATAATGGTGCCGTGACTCGGATATGAAGCCTAGGCAGGGTTTAGTGTCGTTCCTCCATGAAGAGGGGGAGCGACACAAGCATTTGGGCTATTTTCCACTGCTTTCCTAGGCACATTAGCAGGAAGCTGGATCTGAAGTAGAGCAGCTGCACCCATATGGGATGCTCGCTTTGCAGGCAGCAGCTTAACTTGCTGGGCCCCCTCCTTAGCCTCTTGAAACTGCCAGAAGC